AAACCAAACCCACACAAAACATGTGCGGAAGGACTTCCACTCCCTGGCTGTGCTATTGAGGATCAGGAAGAGCCTTTGGGGGCTGCAGGATCTCGCTAGGCTGATGCTGCTGCTCAAGGATTTGGTGCAGGGAGACAAAACTGCTGCCTCTTCCATCCGCTGATCTCAACATCTGCATTTTCCTGCTGCTGTGCTCCCTCTCACACCCTCTCTCCATGGACTGATTTTTTTATTTTTTTCCCTTTTTGCGGGGGGGGGAGGGAAGGACGAGCAGCAAGCCAAGGCATCGTGCTGAGAGGAGCGAAAATTGCCTTTATATATCTCGTGTTCTGGTGGATCTCTCTCGAGGTTATTCAGCTTTTTTGGAAAAGAAAACATGACGTCGCCAGCAAAATTCAAAAAGGATAAGGAGATCATAGCTGAATACGACACTCAAGTTAAAGGTAAGGAACGGTTTTATTTCCATGCCTTCGTTGCAAGGCTGCCTGGCGATTGTAGGAGTTTGCAGTGCATGTTTGGGTGGGGAAGAGGGAAATCATTTGCAGATTGCCTGGAATTTGCAGGGCTTTTTTCGGAGTACAAAGCTGGGTCGGCTTTGCAGTGCTGTCTGTCCCCATGGGGCAGTTCCTTTGGTGTTGCCTTTATTTTAAGGTACCACGGCAAGGGTTTTATTTTATTTTTTTTATTTTTTTTAATGGAACAGCCACATTTTTTTTTTTTTTGAGTTCGGGGAGATCCATCTTTTCCTGCCTGCCGTTCCTAGAGACGGCTTTGCATGTGAAATATGAGAGGCAGGGAATTGCTTTTTAATCCTCTGCCTGTCATGGGAATCTTTGAACAATCTGTGCAGTGTCAGAGGAGCATATTTCCAGTGCTGCTGATGGGGGACTGTGCTCCAGGGTCCCTGTGAAGCTGTTTGTGCTAGAAACTTCCATTATTCAGGATTTTTGCTCGGGGTGAGTCCATAATAATTCCCTGCTTCTCTTTGCTGTGCTGGAGTGTAACACCTCGAGGCTGCAGTGTGGGTGTGGGTGTACACACACACAGACATTTAGAAATGAATAAAACTCGTGCAGCAGCGTTATTCCCATCATCACAGGGGATAATAAACACATTTAAACCGTGGGGTTTGCAATGACCGTGCAAGTCTCCTGCAGAATTCAGCTGGATGGGTTTCAGACCATCATGTGCCCTAGGTTAAAAAAAAAATAAAAATTAAATAAAAGGTGGTGAAATGCCCCCCCCTTAGCTGCTTATTTTTGTGAAGTTTTCAGGACAAGACGTATTTAAAAGAATAATTAGGGCTTGTGCATGGCTTGATACGTTGCTGCTAGGAAGTTCAGAGATTCAGTGATTTATCTAATTGGTTAAAACTTGCTTGGTATGCTCAGAGCATGCAGGAAAGATGGCCTTCGGGCAGGGTTGATTGAGTTAAATCAATGCAATTTAAAAAAAAAAAAAAAAAAAAAAAGAAAAGCCAGATTTAAATCTGAGTAGGAAACCTAGATTTAAATTGACAATTAAGATATTGTTTTGCAATTAGGTGCTCGTTTATTTCTACTGCTGGGGGGGGTGGGGGGTGGGAATCTCCTTGTTGATTGCAAATCATTAAAATTTGTTTTTCTACAAGACATCCTACCCTGACCCAGTGCCCTGCACCTAGAAGCACTTTGGGTACACTTATCTTGAAAAATGCTTATTTGAGCAAACATGAAGCTGTGTTCAGAGTTTATTTAGATTTTTTTTTTTTTTTTTTTTTTTAAATATTGAGGTTCTTAAAGTTAGAAATGGAGAAGGGCGTGTTTCTCTTTTACTGGTTTAGTTTCTATTCCTGTTTTCGAGCTGTCTTTGGAACTGGGAATTGCAGTCAGTGTGAAATTAGAGGCTTGTAGGTTCTTTCATTATTTACCCCATCAAAATGTGCGTGATGGATCCGAGCTGGCAGTCACAATATTTGGGAATACCAGGGAAAACGAGGCTTTAGAATTAGCAAAGCACATCCTCTCACCTCTCAGCTCCTGCATGAATTAGAAATCCTTCCCTTCCTTTTCAGACAAGAGCCCGGGAAAATGGGAGAATTTCCCTGCTGCTGCCAGAGCTCAGCTCATCTCTGGGGCTCTCAGTTCATCTGGAAATTAAAAGCGGGTTGCAGTAGTGGCACATGGATATATTTTTTTTTTAATTTTTTTAATTTTTTTTTTGGCCTTACAAAGCATTTCTGTGTTGGCTGCGGGAGGTGAAGGGGCCGGAAGCGTGTGAAGGGGTCAGGAGGAGCTGGGAGAAGGGGATTTCCTTCCTGAATTAGTGGCGAGGGCAGGATGAGTTCACCTCGGGATGCTCATCCCGTCCTTCTCCGGCGCAGGAATGGGGAAGGAGGCGCTGCTGCATCTCCTGCCCCTCTGGGAGGGAGGTGCAGGGGGAGCTCAGGGATGCTCACACTGCGATTTGCAGGGTCAGGGTGTCAGGGCAGCTTGGATTCCCGTCATAAAACTCGGCTGGGAGCAGTCATTTTCTAAATAAATATATATATTATAGTTATTGTTTGTATTTGCAGGCAAACCAAAGTCTTGTAGCAGCCCTGTCAGTATCTCAGGTGTATTTCACAGGGGGAATTTACCTTTTCCACACAGCAGTTTTCCAATAAATATATACATATATATATATATTATTGTTATTGTTTGTATTTGCAGCAGCCCTGTCAGTATCCCCGGTATATTTCAGAGGGGGAGTTTCCCTTTTCCACACAGCAGTTTTCCAAATATATATATATATGTGCATATAGATGTGTATATATATATATAATAGTTATTGTTTGTATTTACAGGCAAACTAAAGTCCTGCAGAAGCCCTGTCAGTATCCCAGGTGTATTTCAGAGGGGGAGTTTCCCTTTTCCACACAGCAGTTTTCTAAATAAATATATATATTATTGTTTGTATTTGCAGGCAAACAAACCAACCCTGTCAATATCCCCGGGTATATTTCAGAGGGGGAGTTTCCCTTTTCCACCCAGCAATTTTCCAAATATATATATATATATATATCTATATTATTGTTATTGTTTGTGTTTTTAGCAGCCCTGTCAGTATCCCGGGTGTATTTCAGAGGGGGAATTTCCCT